CACTTTCCGTCATGACCTTCCCGAGCTGACCTCAAGGGCCACCGCGGTGTCGATTCAAAGCTATGTTTCGCTCAGGGCTCTAAGTTTAGGGTTTAGGGTTTAGGGTTTAGGGTTTAGGGTTTAGGGTAGACGGTTTTAGGATTTTAGGGCTCAGGGCTTTTGGGGGGTTTAGGGTTTACTTGGAGGATCATGGGACTTAGTAAGTAAGGTTATAAGTCCCTTAATTGGGGTTATAAGTATAGTTGCCCTACTTATAACCCTACTCACTAAGTCCCATGATCCTTTAAGTAGGGGTTTTAGGGCTCAGGGGGTTTGGGGTTTAGGGTTCAGGGTTCAGGGCCTAAGGGGCCTCAATCTTCACTGGGTTCAAGGCTTAAGGTGTGGGGTGTAGGGTTCAGGGTGTAGGGTTCAGGGTTTAGGGTTCAGCGCTTAAGGCACCTCAATTTATCCAATTTAGGCTTTAGGGTTCAGGGCTTGAGGGACCTCAGTATTCAGTTGGTTTAGGCTTTAGGGCTTAAGGTTTACATTCTAGGGTTTAGGGCTTGGGGTGTAGGGCTTAGAGGTTTAGGGTAATTGGGGCTGAGGGCTCAGGGCTTTAGGGATTTAGGGCTTCAGGGTTTAGGGCTGTGGGGTTTAGTTTAGGGTTTGGGGGTTCTAGCTATGGGCCGGTACGGCTTGAGGATTTACGGTTTCTGGTTCTATAAGAAGGTTTCGGCATGATGGGCTTCGCTAATGTTGCCGTTTGACGGGGGGAGTGCAGGTTCCCCTGGGCTGATATACTGTGTTAGCGAAACCCTAAACCCTAAACCCTAAACCCTAAACCCTAAACCCTAAACCCTAAACCGTTCCGGTTGGTTTAGGAGCTTCGGGATACAGGCTTTTCAAGGCTTCAGGGCGAGGCACCGCCCCCTTTTCCCCCCTCTAGTTACAGAGGTTCAGGGGCAAAAGGTTTAGGGTTTAGGGTGAAACAAAGAAACGCGAGCCTCACCTTAACCCAAACCGAAAACCCTGAACCCTCAACCCTAATCCGAAACTCACAAAACGGAAGGCATCTGGCCATCACCAGAAATCCCCTCTGAACTGGACCTCAGGGTTCGAGTTCCGCGGTCAAACCGCCAGGACAAACGTGCTGCAAACGACACTCCATCAGCAATTCCAAACCCTTGCAAAGACCTCGCCTTCAGAAAACCCTAAACCCTCAACCCTAAGCCCTAAACCCTAAACCCCCAACCCCAAGCCCTAAACCCTAAACCCTGAACCCTGAACCCCGAACCCTAAGCCCTCATACCGAAGCCCCGACATCCGAAACCCAAAGCCCCCCACCCCAGAGGCCCTAAACCCTAAACCCTAAACCCTAAACCCTAAACCCTAAACCCTAAACCTTAAACCCTAAACCCTAAACCCTAAACCCTAAACCCTAAACCAACAAAAAGGGGCCCTCTTCCGGGAGCCCAGGCATGCTCCACTTTAGGAGGCCAGGTGGCGAGCTCCTGCAGGGCTTCGGGGGTCTAGGGTTTAGGGTTTAGGGTTTAGGGTTTAGGGCTTGGGGTTTACCCTAAACCCTAAACCCTAAACCCTAAACCCAATGGTTTAGGGTTTAGGGTTTAGGGTGTTGGGTTTAGGGTTTTGGGTTTGGGGCTCAGGTGGGGTTTGGGGCTTTGGAACAGTGGGTTTGGCTATACAACCTATAAGCCGTAAACTGAAACCCTATATATAAGTCCTATGAAGCCCTAAACCCGAAGCTATAAATCTTAGAAGCCCCAACCCCTGAACTATAAACCCGATAAGCCCTGTAGACCCTCTAAGCCGTCTAAGCCCTCTACTTGGAGGATGATGGGACTTAGAAAGTAAGGTTATAAGTCCCTTAATTGGGGTTATAAGTATAGTTACCCTAATTGTAACCCTACTTACGAAGTCCCATGATCCTCCAAGTATAAGCCCTATGAACCCCAGGACTTCTACGGTCTAGGTTTAGGGCTTTAGGGGTTTAGGGTTTTAGGGTTTAGGGGTTTTAGGGTTTAGGGGTTTTAGGGTTTAGGGGTTTTAGGGTCAGGGTTTGGGGTCAGGGTTTTGGGGTTTTAGGGTTTTGGGGTTTGGGGTTTTAGGTTTTTTTTTAGTGTAGTGGGTTTTAGGGTTTAGTTTTTTTTGAGGTGCCTTTTAAAGGGTTTAAGGTTTAGGGATTAGGGAAGGGCTGCTTCAGGGCTTCAGGAGGGTTTCAAACGGGAGGCTCCCAGTTGGTTGAGGAGTCGCGCGGCTGTTTTTGGTGTCATGAAGTCTAGAAGTTGGATGGGGTGAGAGGTGGAAGGGTTTGGGCTTTTTTTTGGAGGGGTTAGGGTTTAGGGTTTAGGGTGTAGGGTGTAGGGAGAAAGGATCTTAAGGACTTTCAGGGTTTTAAAATGGCCGAGATGTGGACTTCCAGTTGGGTGGGTTTTGGGCTTTAGACAGCTCAGAGACATGGAAGGCTAAACCCTAAACCCTAAACCGTTTCGAGATCTGCTGGGTTGCAGTTGCTGCCTGCTTTCTATGCCTGGGTCGAAGAATCCTTAGCATCTTGCAGACCCTAAACCCTAAACCCCAAGGGCAGGGTTTAGGGTTTAGGGTTTAGGGTTTAGGGTTTAGGGTTTAGGGCATAAAACCCCGAAAAGGACTATCGGATAACAGCTTGGGTATCTCTAGCTCGGGAGTTTAAGGTGGCAGTTGATGTTGAAAGGGTTGAGGTATTTATAGAAGCTGGCGTCAGTAGCCCATGCTTTCCAAAATTGCTGATGCCTACATCGGAAGCCTTGAACCCTCAAACCTGAAGCCGTAAGGATCTTAAAATCAAAGACAAACACATCAGCAACTCATGTTCCGAAAATGCCGACATGAACCCTGAGCACCTACTGCTAGACTCTCAGCACTATTAGCTCCTAAACCTCGAAGACTGGACTATGGAGGTCCGGACGAACATTAGTGCTAGTGTCCCCCTGGGGTTCCCTAACGCAGCTGCAGTCTGATTCTTCAGGACCCGCTATCGAAGCCTACAAGTCTAACTAATGTAGGGACCTTAAAAAGTAGAATAGGTCTTTTTTTTTTAGGGGGGGGGTCCTTGTTATGACTTCAGTATAATATACCCCAAACCCTATTCTAATTATTACGGCCGCTATATTACATTTCAGGGCCTACGATTGAATCCTACAGTAGTGAGCACGACCCCAGCCCACACCCAGGCCTCGCGGAGACCCACGGCCACGCCCTGCTCCTCCGGTTCGAGAGAGTTTAGGGGTTAGGGTTTAGGGTTCCGAGGACATGGGAGTTCCAGAAAAATGGGGAGCCCTGATGTTGTAACCCTCATTTGCAGGCTCCTCATTCAGACATATAAACCCGGCCTAACAAAGAGACGATAGGCTTCTGACACCCCCCTATGGAGGCATTCTGGCAGATGAGGGTTGTAGGGTAATATTACGACGATACTGTTGATGAAAGAAATCCTGCATTACCTTAAGGACCCTCAACTGTGGGAATTATGGCATATTCCTTATTATGGGTAATGCAGGATTTATATCATCAACCGTAGTGCGACTCTAGCGACTATAGCCGCCAGGGTCCACACCCTTTCTACGACTCGGTCGTCTCCATCATGTCTCATATGTCTGTGTCTGACATCGAACTGCGAATACTTACGTGCTTGCATATATATATATATATATGATTATATATACATACATACAGGTGCATGGGAGTAAAATTTATATCTAGTTACAATTAGGTGTATGTATATACACCTCTATATATATATATATATATCTATGTATATATATATATATATATATATGCAGATACAGATACCGATGTAAATATAGATATGGATATAGATATAGATACTTCTCTTGCCCTGAACCCTGTAAACCCTAAGCCGGTCCTCCAGAATGCGTGCTTCCAGCTCTCTTCTCCTCAAACTCGCCTGGAAAGGCAAGCAAAGCTCGGTGTTCATCTCATTGTTGTCATTAGGGTTTAGGATTTAGGGTTTAGGGTTTAGGGTAGGGTTTAGGGTTTAGGTATCTCAACACTCGTGCTCAAAAGGGCTTCGGGTTGGGTACTGCCCCAAGACAGTAACAGTCTATAATACTATAATAGGGCTACTATTAGGGGCCTTACATACCTCATTTATGAATATTATCCAACTGTTACTGAGTGGGGGCAGTCTCCACGCTTCGGGTGTGGATTTACGATTTCGGAGACTTTAGGGTGCAGGGTTTTAAGGCTTAGAGACTGAGGTATTGGGGCTCCGGCTTTTGAGGGATCTGTTGGGAGATGTGGGGAGTGCTCTGTCTCTTCCAAGCAACTGAACACTGGACTTCTTTGCCAAACAGTCCGTAATGCCAGGACCTCTATGAAACTCTGAGACCTAGACGATACCTGCTAGAGCACAGGTTCAGAGTCGGGATCGGGTATGGGATTCTGGGATCGCGCGGCCATAGGCATGGCAAGCAGGAAGAGGGGGCTGAGTACCTTGACCGGAACGACTGAAGCAACATCTGACAACAAGGGCTTCGGCTTGGGGCTGCTTAAAGGATCATGGGACTTAGTAAGTAGGGTTATAATTAGGGTTAGGGTTTAGGGTTTAGAACTACTTAAAGGATCATGGGACTTAGTAAGTAGGGTTATAATTAGGGTAACTATACTTATAACCCCAATTAAGAGACTTAGAACCTTACTTACTAAGTCGCATGATCCTCCAAGTGCTACACTCGCAACCGTTGAGAAGCCCCAACAGGCCTCACCTGTCATTGCTCTACTTGGAGGATCATGGGACTTAGTAAGTAAGGATATACAGCCCTTAATTGGGGTTATATGTATAGTTACCCTAAGTATAACCCTACTGACTAAGTCCCATGATCCTTTAAGTGCATGCAGTTTTGTGTGATATGGGGCTGGCATCTCGGGCCATTCTCGAATCCAAGCTCTACCCCGAACAACTCTAAACCCAAAACCTGACAGCCCAAACCGAACCCACAAAATCCAAGTCCTCTTAGAAACTTGCGCCCCTCCCTGAAATCTACAAGACTGGTCGGGCCCTGCCTTTTGCCCCTACGGTCCTAGGGTTCGCTTCCTCCCGAACACTCTGTAGCAAGCCGAAGGAATTATGTAGGAACCTGATTAAGAAACCCTGGCCCTATACCCCCCAAATAGGAGGATTCATAGAAAGAACCCTAATAAAGACCCANNAGGTTCCTACATATCCGTGTTAGTATGTCCCAGGATTTGGGAGTTATAGAACCTATACTGCTGGGCAGCAAGCAACCAAAAACTCAATCGCCGAGACCACGAAGATGGAACGTGTGCAACGTTGAAACACCTAAAAGTCTGCATTTACATCCCGGATGAAATCACATATACTCTAGCTCTTAGCATTATTAGCAGTTGGACCTGCAAGCATCACCCTGCCTTGTCTAACGCGTTCGCCAGGTCCAGCATTGTCATCCGGGCCTGTGCCTGTGCAGGGAATCTCTGGATGCTGACAATAACGGCTAGACTCCCGAGCTGTCGCAGTACGATGCGATTGATGGTTGCACCAAATTACATTGAAGGCCACACGCTGTGCTGATTCATCTTACGCCCGTGGCACCACACTTTAGTCCTGTTCCATGCGCTGCGTTTCCATTCAGTGACAGCGTACACTTCACCTCCTGCGTGCCGCCACATACGCAACGCCATGTAGACCACTGCGTGACTACATCGGGGTAGGAAATGACAGACCTGCAACGCTATGAAGTGAGAACTCCACATGACCCCATAATACTGCATAGCGGGTATAGCGTGCGATGATGACGTTTGGACTCTTCCTCAAACTACAGCATTGCATTCTAAAGAGTGGAGTCGTCGTCGCCGCCGGCACGAAAGACAACCGCCCGAACCACCAGCAGCCTCAGCAACATGGGCAACATCCTGGACATGATCATCGCCATCGCAAAGCTCAGTCATCATCCTCACCATCGCAATGGCATGGTCAAGCCGACGCCCCAAACCCTAAACCCGAAACCCTAAACCCTAAACCACCCCAAACCCTAAACCCTAAACCCTAAACCACCCCAAACCCTAAACCCTAAACCCTAAATCCATTAACC